CCCGCGCGGGCCGCGGGCCCAGGGGAGGCGCAGGGCGCGGGTGGCCCCTGCCTGCCCGCGGCCCCGTGGCGGAGCCGCAGTGCCACTTTGGGGCCTGGGAGGACCCCAAAATGCACGGCAGCACTTTGTAATTGGCCCTTGCCGGGCGCGCAGCAGGAAGGCTGCTCCCCGGGGCTGACACTGACAGTGAATCTGGTTAAAAACGCGGAGTATGGAACTAAAGCAGACCTGACACCTCAGTTCTTACACTTTCCCCCTAAGCTCTCACAAGTGACTTGTTTCCCCGTGGCTGCCGATGTGCGGCGTGGTGCCTTCCTGCTTCACAGTGAAATGGTGGGCAAAGGCACTGGGCACAGCCAAGATGCTCKGAACAGACATGTTGCCAGGGCAGGGAACCTCACGCATGTCTGGGAGAAGGTTCAGTGTCAACTCCATCCCGATTCCTGTCCTTGTCCGGCAATGGCCCCGCGTCCCGCCAGGCAGGACGCAGCCTGTGAGCAGCACCGCAGCGCAGGGCCATGAGCGGCGCCTCCCCTGCTTCCCGCTCTCTGTGGCTCCTTGTTTCCCAAGCGAGTTAGATCCTGGCTTTCATTCCAATCCCAGAGCTTCTTCCGACCTCTTTGGTGTTGTAAAGAGAGGGGGCAAAAGTGGGAATCAAGTGCAACGTGTTCTGATGCTCTGGCCTGTTGTCAAGGTCAAAAGTGGAGGCAGTGGATGAAAAATGAGGAGGTTTCATGAATAAACAGYTTTAGAAAAGTAGAAGAACTGTGCTTTTATAAAAGTCATAAAGAAATTGAATTTTGGCTGAATAAGAAAAAGAAGAAAATCTTTTTGGAGATTCCAACACATGAGGGTAGCCTCCACAGTGCTGGTGGTACTGGTGTAGGAAAGGCTGCACCTTTGGGAATGTGGCCCAAAGGGAGAACACCCASCAGCGACGGGAAGGTAGTGGCGAAGAAGGCAAAGCAGCTGAAGCAAGTTTGGGATCTTTCCCCTTACCAGTCGCTCGCCATGTATCCAGAGCCGTGATTAATCCAGAGGGATGKCAGGAGCGACGCTGCCGACCCTGCTCCCGGTGTCAGCGTCACTTGTTTTTATTTGCTTCTAATATGAAGCCAAGTGAGTACGGGTCCTGCGAAGATTAAGTGAAGATAAGAAAGCCTGTCATTTCTAATGCCTTGTATTTCAGCGTGTTCGTACTACTGGGCAATCAGTGCAGGGGAAATTATGTATGAGAACTATGTTAAAAATAGTTATGCGGTACTTTATGGGATATCATTTGTCACCRGCCATATCAAACCTGTTGTGAAGATTTGCAATAAATTTTACATAAGGCCTGCGTTTCTATATCTTTTTTTCTGTTTTAAAATATAAAAGCAATATTAAAATGTGGGTAGGTGTGAAGTAAAACCACATTCAATCTGCATTTTTTACACACACAAAATGAGCTACTCTTTAAAGCAATCTTCAGTATGTCCAAATCAAAGTAAGGTACTATATTTCTGATTTTTATATCCTTGCTTCAACAGAGGCTTGTAAACATAAAGTAATGAGACTGTCTYGTTCAGACCGAATGTGTAGTGAACAGTGAAAACAAGTCAGCAGCTGGCAGAGTCTGTACATATGACACTGCGTTCACCATTTAGGTGATATACAACTTCATGTAATGTACCTGGCATTTGTATCCCCTTTCCCTAGTCTGACAGCCAGGCTGTGGGCTTCMTAGAAATACAGAACCAGTTACCCCATTAAATGGCTCATGAAATTGGGGCAAACAGCAAACAGAAACGTCTCAGCTAGGTCACCGTACAAATAGCAGTGCAAACAGTAACATCCCGAACGGCAGTATCCGTGTGGCACGATTCAGGAGCAGGGAGCATTGAGCTACTGTTAAATACAACAACAACAAAAAGTTCTTTTGTGTTTTCTGGCCAGCACTAAAAAAAAATCTCAGTGTTAGTAGTTTTTATAGAAGTTATGGTCTGATAAGGGCTAAATGGCCTCCGTGTGTYAGTCCACCTCCTCACCATGCAGTTCCCAAAAGGGAAAACTGACATCAGTGATGGATGCTTGTCTTATTGGGGCACTTTGGATAATAGGACACCCAAAATAGGGACCGAGCGCTCACCCTGCATTCACCTAAGCAGCTTTTCTGGGCAGAAGAGGGGAGAGGAGGAAGGAGAAAGAGACAAACCACCGGATGAGAGACAAACCACCGAATGCGAGGCAAGGTGACACCCCGGGGTGACACCACGGAAGAGGGGCTGTGGGACAGAGCAGCAGCGGTCACTGTGACAGTGACATGGGACCCCCAGGAGCAGCACTCTGCTCCAGCCACCACAGAAACCCACGGTGCGACAGTTGCTTGTGCAGCAATGGATAACATTGATGCCAGCCCAGGCAAAATATCATTTCTTTTTTCCTTTGGAAAAGCCCCTTTGCAAAATTCTGGTAACAATGGAGCACTATAGTGTTCACTAGGCCAACTGACATAGTTGGACAAACTTTCAGGAAGAAGCTCTTCTTCAGTAGGCTGGATAAATATATTTTTTTCTCATATGACTGAAGTCGTAAGCCTACAAGATGTTCATCACTGTAGAATTCCAGTTCATTTTAATAGGAATAGGCACTGAGACCACAGGTTACTGCCCGTCTTTCTTCAGAATAGTAATCAGCAAGGAAAGGAAAAGAGGCAAAAAGCAATTACAAGCAATATTTGTGCAAGCGAGATTACAAACATAAGCACTTGCACAKGCCCTTGGGCAACGTGAAGTGAGAGCATCACTTGCACACATGGAAAATATAAACCCAAGCTGGCAAGTGGTTAGTGGGAATAGATAGAAACACCCAGTGCACAAAAAAACAGCTGCCAGAAAATTTAGCCAGCAGAGTTTTAAAATGCARATTTTAATCCTTCAGGAAAAGCCTTATCCATCACGATAAAACAGCTTTCTTTACCCCTTTCCAAGTGATTCCATAAATTGAGAGAGTTAGAGTAATTTGTCAGTGTAGTATACATCTGGTAGTCTTAAATGACAGAACAGCAGACATGGGTCCTGCCGTTCCTGCAGCAGGTCACTTGGATGGTGGGTAGGGTTTTAAAACCAACTCAGGACTGTTTGGAAGGTGCTTCCTTTTGATTTAGGAAGAGTGCCATTTAACAACATTATTCAGAGAATGGCCATGGCTGTTCTTGGAAAACTGTCATGTGCTACAGACAGTGRTAGCAGGATGAACATCAAAATGCAGGTGCTGCAAGGACTAAAGAAGAGTTGTTGGAAGGCATGGATAATGCCTGATGTTTCACTGAAAATATCACAGTGCTAATCATAAATTGCAAAGGCAAACAAATGTCTTGGAAAATACTAGTCTACAATTTTCTTGAGGCAAAGAGCAGAATGATGTAGACTTTAGACTAAAGAAGTACTTGAGTTTACATTCTTAGTTACTCTTGAACATGGTGAAGAATATTCAGAAACAGTCAAGCTAATGTGGTCACCAAAAAAAAAAAAAAAATGGAGATTTCATTTTATTGCTATTTCAAACTGGTATTTATCTCCTTACATTTAAAATTAATTTCTTCTTTAAATACATGAGTAATAAGTCAGAGGAAGATAATAATTTTTTATTATTGAGACTGGAGAATCAAATCTTTCTAGAAGAATTCATAACTTTCCAGCTGTTGCATGCAATTCTCTCAGCATCTGCTTTTCCTTTTTGTGAGGAGACTAGAAGCTCTATGCAAGCTACATAACAGCTCCTCTGTTACTGTCTCATTGATGCTGATTTATGTTTTAAGAGGTTGGGTATTTTCAAGCCTTTGTTTAATCAGAAAAAAAAAAATCTTTTTTTTCCCCCAGAGAGAAGAATGTGGGCAAGTAGTTCTGAGAGTCTGTAAGCTTCTGGTGTCTTTGCAGCAAGAAGAGCACATTTGCTGTCTGAGTTAGCAGGACTTTTTTAAAGGCATGCATGCGAATCTGTTCAATCCAGATGATAAACAACTACACAACCTTTTTTTAGAAAGCGACATAAGTTTACTAGCTGCATATGGTCTTGAACTGCAGGGGTCTTACCAGGGTTGATTGTGGAGCAGAGGAGCATGGGGAGGGAGAGGAATAAAGCTCCTGAGAATATCGGGGCAGYTGGCACCATTTCAAAAGGGCCTCTAGTTGAGAACAAAAGGTTGCCAAATAAAATTTTCAGTCTTTTCAAGAATGAAGATTTTCTTTCATCCATACAACAAAAATTACTAGACTGACTCTTACTGTTTCCCTCACTATTATTGACTTTGACATCCATTCATAGCACTA